TTCAATGGTTTTTGTTTTGTAAACAACAGACTAGAGTAGTGTGAGATGCTGTCTCTTTCAGCAATTGAAGCTATATTCAGACTTCTGTAATCACCCTTTAATATGCACTAGATTTTGATAGAAGGGAGATGTAGTTTCTAATTAACTTTTCTTCCCCAAAAAAAGAAAACCAAAAGCAAGCACAAGGAACGTTTCTGGTTTACAGAATTACACAATGTTACTTGGTGCTACTCCATAAGCTTCTGTATGACATGGACCAGGCACAGGCACTGCTCATTCCGTTAAATCGCCTGGTTTCTCAGTTTGCTGTCCCCACTAGCCCACGTTTGAAATGGCACAGTTACATATTTCCATTACTGCATGGCTTTGGAATCACATTGTTGAGTCAAATCAGAAAATCTGTTTTTGTGCTTGCAAGGTGCTCTGGAATGTGGAAAGCTACACACTTCTGTGATTGCTGCCTCTGTGTTATAGTGGCAATTCCAATTATATCTTTTAACAGGAATACTTCCTATTTTACTACTAAAAACTCAGTAGGCAGATTGAAGCCCATTAAATTTTTAAGTAGGGCTAAAAAAAACCCAACCAACAAGTTCTACAGCAACACAATTTGGAATAAAGCTGACTGGTAAACGACAATCTCATTTCTTCAGTAACATCAGAGTGACAGTGAGGATTTTCTAGCCTCATCACCTTCTCCTTGGGCTGCCAAAAGTGCCCCCTTAGGATCATTATCTTATTAAGCATACTAAGAGCAAGAAACAGTGGCTTTGTGTGGAAACTATATACCATTAAGGTATTGGAAAAATTAGTGCAAGACCTAAAGTTAAATTTTAAACACATCACAACTGCAAAGGAAGGTTTTCACAATGTTTTAAGTTACAGAGGCTTTTTAATGTTCTCTGTTGGAAAACATCTCCATGCTGTGATGACACGGAGATGTTGGATCCTTATGGAGACCTTGGGCAGTATGTTAAAAATATAACGGTAGTCATCATCTAGGCTTAAGCTAAACAGATCAAACATCCAACTGAGGACAAATTTACAGCTCTATTTTATATAAAATCTTCTAAAAAGTAAGTTCAGCTTCTGCACAAAGCTTTCCTACACCCACGTGAAAGTATGGACTCTTAACCTTTCCATGTTAGATTGTATTTTACTCATAGATAAAGGAAAACAAGTTTATGGATGATTCTGCATCTTACACGTCCCTGCTTGCAAAAAGAGGTCTGAAATCCAAGTTGCTGGAAGAAGTCTACAAAGCCACACGTTAGAATCTCCATTTCACACTCCGGTTCAAGAAGAAATCTCATGCATGTTAAGTGCTGTTTTATTCCAACTGTCCCTCCATTTCAGTGTTTGGTGAAGAGCAATCCATCCTCACTGAAGGAATAAAAATTATCAGAGAGGGAAGAGAAAATACTGAGGGACATGTAAGCCCATGGAGCACTTTTTCAAATAAATGTTAAGAAAATAAGTCAAGCTGTTCCCTAGCAAACTAGAAAATTTCTAGTTTCTTTTATGACCTCCCATTTACAGCAGAAGCAAGTAGCCTTTCTAGAGAAGAAAATTCTACCTGAAAAATGAACTGTCCATGGGTAACCCCCTGTAAGCAATGTGCTCTAAGCTGCATCACTGCTTAACTTTGAATAACAGGCTGAAGGGAAGAATTCCTTTCTGTGTCTGAAATCACAGAAAAGAACAGAAAGAAATCCTTGGCTGCTGGCTTGATACATGCAGAGCCTTACCAAATCAAATGTGAGTTTTCCCCTGTGGTCAGTTTTTGTCTTTCCACTCTGACTGATCTGCAATAGCATCCACACATGCACACACACACACATGCTCTGAAGCTCGAGGGAACGGGAGCAGATAAGCAGGCAGCTAGAGCAAACATATTCATTTACCCTTTTTTAACTAGATCTAAATTAATTTGTGAAACACTCCCTTTGGGCCTGGTAGACTGTGGAAAGCAAAAGGCTTTTTTTTTTTTCCTACTTACAGTAATTGCTAGGTTCACATCTGCTCACCTCCTCTTCTCACGGAAGACTCCTGTCCTCCGTATCTCCATCTCTGCAAGGGCACCAGTTACATATTCGCAAAGATCTTTTTGTAACTCCATACTGTGGCATTGCAATCCTGACACGTAACTAAATAGGCACCGGCAGCAGATCTCACCTTTTGACCGAGACTGACAATGACATAGTTTTGTCTCAAAATTAATTTTTCTCTTTTTTTGTAACAAGCACCACAAGCATTTATCCTGGTTCAGTAATGAAGCACAGTTCAGTCTTTGCCTAAAAGATAGGATGGATAGGATAACACAGTTTCTTAATACCGTCCAATTAGATAATAGGGCAATCAGAAAATGCTTACATTTTAACTTTCAAACTATTATCATGACTAGAAAAATAACTTCAGAATAGGGAAAGTAAATTCACATGGCTGCTTTGCAAGCTGCAAACTTCTCCCATTACATTCAAGGATTTAGGAAAAACAGAGGTATTGGACTTCCCTTAGTGAAGGAGGTATTTTCCTGCATCTGTCCGTTCTTTCTTATTTTACACGATTTGGTTTGGTTTCCAACAGCATTAAGTCAAAGGCTTTGGTATGAACACATTGGACTCTGCTTCCAATAAGCAGCAGTAACTTATAGTAAAGTACACATAATAAGGAAATATCAACTTGGTAAAACAGAGAAAAATACAGTGCAACAAAGACTTAGAAAATTCCATCTTCCATCACAAGAAGTTTATTGCATTTGAGAAGAAAAGTAATGGGATAAAAGGAGTAAGACAAATTTGAAGAAAAAATTAAAGCAATTAATTCAACACAATTGGAATTTTAAGTACATTAACACCATCCTCAATTTCATTTATGATTTGGGTAAAAGAAGTCCTCTCATCACATGTGACAATTCGAACTAATCTATCTACATTCTTTGGGGTTAACTGAACTTAAGACAGAGCAACATTTCTGATGCAAAATAGTCCAAAAACAAATAAAACTTGGAATCAGGCAAATGCAGGCTGGGATGGACCTCAGACGTCTGTGCTGTAACCTCCTGCTCACAACAGGTGAGCTCTAAGGTCAAACCAGGTTGCTCAGGGCTTCACCCAGTTGGGACTTGAAAACCTCCAAGTACAGGGATTACACCACCTCTGTGGACAACCTGTGCCCCTGCCTGACTATTTTCATGGGGCAAAGTGTCTTCTTACATCCAGACTGAAACTCCTCTCTTTCAATTTACATCCATTGTCTCTACCTTCTCCCCCAGCCCAAATTTAGAGTCTGACTCAGTCTCCTTGATGACCTCCCTACAGGCACTGGGGGCAGCTGGTAGGTCCTCCCAAAGCCACCATCTCTGCTCCAGGCCAGACAAGTCCAGCTCCCCCAGCCTCTCCTTGCAGGACCAGCCTCACCATCTTGGGGGCCTCCCCTACCCCATGTCCCTGTACAAGATATCTCCCATGTCTTTCTTGTACTGGGAGCCCCAAGCTGGGTGCAGGATTCAGACACCATCTAGCGACTATGAGTAAAGGGGATTAATTGTGAACAGGGTACAGGTCCCTGGGATGAGGACAGCCCATTTCATTCTTTTAGCTACCTTTTTCTAATGCTTTCCAGTTGTTACATTTACTGACTAATAATTGTGTGTGCTTCAAATCCTATGCAAATGTCAGCTAAGACACACTTTTTGTCAAGAATCTTCCCTCACCTTCAACTTGTAGCTGTGAACTTGTGTGGGAACTGATGCTCCAAGGTGAGCTTTGCTGTATGCTAGACCCTGTGGAGGAGCTGCTCACAACACAGAAGTGTTCTGGCTCTCTTCAGAGAGCTTTTCCCCCCACAGAAAACCATTCCCTCACAGCAGAGCCTCGTGTCTGCAGCAACTGGTTGACAACACATAAAGTATAGGAGAGTGTGCATTATTTTTTGTCTATTTTCTCCCACTGACTTCCACAAGTTATTCTACCAGGACACTGGTTTCCAAAGACCTGTATGTGTGTGTGTGTGTGTGTGTGTGTGTGTGTGTTGGCCAGTCTTCACGAACGAAGAACCGGGGAAGGTCTTTCCACCTTCCAGCCTGCGCATTGGATTTTTTAGGTGAGACACAGTGTGCGCGGAACTGAGCCCACCCTTTAATCCTGAGGTTCATCTGCCGGGGCCAAGCGAGCTTGGACGGTGGCAGCAAGGTCCTCAGGACGTAGATGGATTGCCTTACAGGGCTAACGAGCTCCATCTGCCCGGGGAGGGGCCCTGACCAGGAATCGAACCCTCGGTGGTGACAGCGCTGCGTCCTTAACCACTTCACCACCAGGGGCTCCCAACTAAAGCATCAATCACACTGGAGCACAGAAATTAATACCTTCCTCATTAAAATATTTTATTAATAAGCAAATAATAAAAACGGTGGCAAATCTTTCATGACATGATTCAGTTTTAAAATATCTCAGAACAAAATGAAGCAATGCAAGCTAATTAATTATGACAATGTCATATGCCCATAAGAAAAACAAGTCAAATCTTGAAAGTAATCAGAGCCTTCTCTGGCCCTGTCTGAAGTGCACAAAATGAGGAAATCAGCCTAATAATTAATTTACTATTGTTTCATAAGGCCTCAGGAGTGAGGATTGACCTCTCCAACTTCAGATATCTAAATGCAGGTTGAGCCAGTCGCTGTGGCAGTAAAAAACAATAAGAGAAACCTGACAATTTTAAGTCTATATTGGAATAAAATAATTTGAGCTTACAAATTTTCCTTTCTCTTGGCTGATTATACAGAAGCACAGGACAATCAATCTCTGCACTATGCCTCCCATCCTATGTTTCGCATCCAGAAATGTGTTCTTGGCCCACCATTTGTGTCAAGCAATACAACTTATCCTAATTTTCTTGTACTGTGACCTAAGCAGAAATAAATGGTATTGGTATGTTCATGCAGACATTTCCGCTGTTCAGCTCAAAATGGTAACTAATAAAACTTCAACAGCTTGTTTGTGTCCTCTATAAAAAAACATGAGAATTAGCAAAACGACAGCTTAAAACTTCTGCACCTGTGCTGTGACTGAAGTTACATGACCAGTTAGCACAAATTCAGAAACGCATAACTCAAGAAGGGTGGGTGCAATGCACTGTTTCAAGTTATTCTTACTATTTGCATAACAATAATGCCCCAAGGTTCCAGTTAAGATCAAAGTCCAACCATATTACAGGGTTCAGACATTCATAATAACACTTTGCTGTGGAAGAAAACCTGCCACGGTAGCACCTGAGGTTGATATTAATTCCAGGTGTATCCTGCGTCCTTGCCTGTGGAGGAGATGTTATGTCTCCCAAAGGGAAGGGCATCAGTAAAGCCGAAATGCTACATTTAAGTCACTGTATCTTTCCCTCTGCAGGGGAGCAAAATAGCAGATCACGGAACCAAAGAATGGCTTGGGTTGGAAGGGAACTTAAAGACCATCTAATTCCAACCCAGATCCCTGAGGTCCCTTCAGCTGCAGCTGTTACACTCACTACAGCTGAGTCCTAAAGAAGCAGATCTTGCTTCAGCTAATGGATAAAACAGACCGGGCATGAGAGAGGTGAACTGGCTTCCCAAGATCATTTAGATGGTCACGGAGAAAGCCCAGACAGACCCACTACACGGTCCTGTCTCCCAAACTAGCTACTAAATCAAAATCTCTTATTTCTCAGAGACAAGTCTTAAAATGGGGCACATACTAATGCAGCAATGTCTATGGCCAGCACCAAACATTGGTGGGAAAAGCCACGGGGTATCAAGTGCATGGTCTTGAAGACCAAGTAGGTCTCTGGTAAGTCTAACAGAACCAGGGGTAGGGAACGAAGGGGGGAATTTTCTCTATTTACTTACATTTAGATCACCATACAGATACAGAAGTGCCAAAGGGTGGGAAAGAAGGAGCAATTCTTTCCCCTACATTGTGGTACAGTAAGAGAGATGAGTTGAAGTGACCCTTACTGCTGCTGAGGTCTCAGCTTACTGGCCAGTAAATCCACTCTTTACTCAATACAGCCTTCTCCTATCTGCAGCCACAGCCTCACAAATAAACCTCACTGGCACAGTGATTGGTGGGTGAGGGATAATTTTCTCCAGTGACAAACAAGACGATGTTTGCCTGCTTCAGATCCCTGCATAAGCAAATATTGTTCAAGTGCTGAATTCCTAAGCAAGCTGAAAAATGCATTATTTAAAACATGATTGTGTTCCAGCATTGCACAATATTAATATTGCTAAAGCTACTTAATGCTTGCACATCTAATGCATTTATACAGTAATTTGATAAATTTTAACTGAACTTTTTAATAACTGTTCCTAGTTATTCATTAATTTGTCAAATCTGGACCAAATGTTTCATTGGTCTCTACATGTGCACATATCATTGGTTGCACATTCAGTCTCCTCTTCTGCACGACACAAAATTTCCACTTTTTAATGAAGATCTGCTCTTCATTTGGTCTCTCCTATTAGACAAGGTGCACCTCAGTTGGATTTCATTTGTGTTTTCAGTTTGGCAAGACCACTGAGACATTCATCTCTCCATTTTCTCCTGGCATCCAGGACTTTTGGCACCACTGGAATTTTTTCAGACATTGCCTGAAACAGAAAATTTAAGACGATTAAATCTCATGTTCTGAATACAAGGTTTCTCGCCAGTACTGTTTTCCTGCTTTCCCTGTGTCAAACCAAGTCAACATCCACACAAACTATAAATTAGTTTCACAAGCAATAGGTCACTAATTCTTTACATGGGTGACTGGAAATGAGCCAATCCATATGAGAAGAAAAGTGTTCCCACTTGTATAAGGTTATCCTGAATGTGACAATGAAGATGACTACAGAAACAACAAAACATCAGCTTCTTCCCTCATTTTGCTCCATACAGCCACTGTCTAGTCTCTTTGACAATAATCTTTTTTCAAGCAGGAGGAAGGCAACCTGGCCATTTATGCGGCTGAAAATGTGCTCTAAACCAGATTCCTTGTGTGTTTTTAAAACTGTGACGTCTCTTCTGGTTCCAAATAAATGTTTATTAAAAACATTTTGTCTTAAGAGTGCCAGTTATATTAAAAATGATAGAGTGAGACACATAAACTCAGGGAAATAAAAGGTATTTCTGAGTGCACAACTGAAGTTGTCTTAGAAGTGCCAAAGAAAAAGCAGTTGTTTTGAGAGAGCAGGTAGAGATTATAAGGCCATCTTTGCCAAAAGAGTACCTGAGGTCTTAGGCTTAAAGTGTTGAGAAGCTGGGTAAAACTCGGACCTGCTACGAATGACTGGCAAGCTGTGGTCACTCCAGAAAAAAATCAGCTGGAGGGACAGAGAAGTAAGATAAGAAATGTCTAATGATTTACTCTAAGAAGGAATTCTTGCAAGCCTATCTTTGGCACTGAAGACTGAAGATAATAAAGAGACACAGAAACAGATGTTGAAGTGGAATCCAGCTTTCTAGAAAAAAACCCAAAGTCTTTCATGCAAATTAAAAGCTGCTAATTGTGAATGACTCCACAATTACTAGTTATTATAAGCAATCTATGTTGCTAAAGCATACAATAATTCTTTTCCTTTTTAACATAGCTCATGTTGAAATTACATTAACATAACAAGGAAAAAACCAATGCTATCTTCCAGACAGACTGCCTCCATATTTGGAATTAATCTCTGATAGCTGATCAGAAATGATCCAACACATACATATGTTCTTTAGTGAAGCATCTGAAAAGGCAGAATTAGGAAATACTTCAGTTAATTCCTATGGTCATTCAAAATAGTCTACATAGTGAGTATAAACAAATAGTGGGCTTAGAAATGTTGATAGACAAACTAGATCCCAATCCAGAACAGCACTAAAAAACATCTTTAAACATGCAAGTAACCTTACCAGACTGCTCACATGCTTAACTTAAACACGTATTTGCAGCACTACAGACTGGAACTCTAGTTTGTAAAAAAACACAAAACCAAGAAAAAGAACACCCAGAAGGAAAATAGCTACAGGGTTTATAGAGGAAGGAATCTTCTTCCTTAATGTATATATTCACACAGTAAGCACAGACTATGGACACCTACATCAGTTAACTGAAATGGTACAAATGTTAAAATAAAAGCTAACAACATTCTTTGTTCCGAGTGTCACTGTTTTTATCAATTCCATATTTACCTGATTGACTTTCTGCACAATTTCACCTGAAAATTCTGGAACTGGCCCAAAGGTATTCAGAACAAGTCTCATTCCTTCAGAGTATCTTTCACAATAATTTGCAATACCTAAAAATAAGAGTGAAAAGTTAGATTTCAACAAAATTTCCTAGTTAAGGTCAGTGAGGCTGCCTGTACTTAAGCACTGTCTTATATCAGAAACCCAAAAAATGGTCTGTTCCTATGATTAAGACACCTAATTGTCAACAAGGAAAAATGGATTCTATCCACCACATTTCCATTAAGGTTCATGGAAAAATCATTTAGGACACACCTTCATTGCAAACTGGTAATAAGGGGTAAAACAGCTGTCAAGAAAACTTTGGCTGAATTAGAGAAAGACCTAGCTTCCATCAGCTCCAGTATGAATCTCAAAAAAATTACTGTTGAGGCACTAGAGAGGAACTCAAATGATAAATACACCAAAAAGAGAAATCAGTCATTTAGCCAGACACACACATCTAGTAGACTTTTTAGTATTATAAACTACCACAAAATCAAGAAAGGATAAGGCAGCCTTTCCCAGTCAGGAAATCAGGAGTTGCACCACAACAGTAAATGGAGCAATAATTGCTTGGCAGTAAGTAAGCCAAGAATGTGATTGTCCTAATGATCACCCTAGATCTGAGAAGTTCTGAATATCCACTAAAGGCTTGTGACAATCTCTCTTTTCTGAGAACCATAGAGAAGAATTTGCATCCTTAACTCTTTTTATTAGCTAATTATCAAAGCAAATAGGTGAAATGTGCAAAAAACAAAGGCAAGCAGTTATAGTCACCAAGTTTTTCATGAAGACTCAGGACATTGTACAGATATAAAGCATAACAAAGAACTGCTCATGGTCTTATCAACCACAAAACGCAGGAAATATAAGTGGGTGGGCCTGACTATCACACAAAAGAATGCAACTCGGGTCAAGAGTCATTAAGCAATCTCTTTCCTACACAGCTTGTAGACAGTTCCCTGGAATGCAATACTGTGTGATATCAATACCATAGAAGTCACACCTGTCTAACTCTACAATGGTCATGGTTGAAATGAATGAATGGAAACCTCTGACTACTGACATCTATGTATCATGAACAACAACACTTCAGACTGCTCAACACACCTGTAATCACTCAAGAAAGATTTCTGAAAGGCCTCCAAAACTCTTGTTTCTGGACAAAAGACAAAAGAACTTTTGAAGGACAGAGGCTCAAGGAACTATAAAATTTACTTCAGCACTCTGAAGTCATGATGACCACCAGACAAGCAACTGAAATGCCACCAGGGGAGAACATGTCCATTGCATAAGAGCAACACGGGGAGATTTGAGAATATTCAACTTTCTTAAAAATGGACTAGAAACATTCTCCAGTATCTGAAGAAAGGACAGTCTGAGAAAAACAGGAGCCTTGTTAAGTAGTCTTATAAAGAACCTATATTTAGTGCCAAGAGTGAGACAATCAGCTTTCAGTCAGCCTGTTTCCTTGTGTTATCTACCCATGGAGCATATGTGTTCTTAGAATACAATCTGGTACGTTCTGGCCTTCCCCAACACAAGAAGGAAGGTCAGCTAGTCATACAGGTATTCTGATTATATGGAAAATTAGTATTTTGCTCAATTTTCTTGACTGACACACAGCCAAAAACCTCCAGATTGCCTAGTGGGCTTCAAAACATCACTGGCAGGAAGTGAGATTCAGGAAGAGAAGCATTACTGAGGGATGTGGAACAGGCTGTGATATGGTCCTGTCTTTTCACTGAGGGAATAAGCAGAGACCATCATCCACTTCAATAAACACTCTGGAAAGGACCACTGGTTATCAGGGTTTATTGGCCATACCCTGTCATTAGCATAAGTGTTTGCCTATTACATCTTAACAGCTGGGCTCACAAACTTTGGCACCTGAAGCCAACCCAGGCTGACCTACAGGGGATATGGTACCCACATGAGCAATCTTGAGAACCTGAGGCAATTCTGGATGAGACTCATGCACCAAACCACAAGACAAAGATAGTTACATTTCGGCTTGTTCATGTGAGCTTTTTCTTCTAACAGTGAGGAGTCTGAGCAAAAATGTCCCCACATCATGCAACATCACTGAAAGTTCCCAGATGTAGAAGCAGAAATGACTGAGGCTGAAGAGTGCAGAACTATGTTGGATACACCTTGGTAACCCCCAGCTCCCAGCAGCAGCTGCTGCGAGCTGGACAATGACAAAATAAAAAATGGCAACTCAGTTGAATGTGGCAATTCAAACAAATCCCCATGAGCAACTGGTGACAGAAGGAATGATAAACAGAGCAGTGTCAGCTACCAGTTATTCTGGTGCTTACCCAGCTGACACAGGTCTATGACACTTAGACCAGCGCTGAATAGTTTGGGTTTGGTACTTTTCCGTAAGTCAAGGGATACCTTTCAAACATCTGGCAAGCTTGTGTAATAATACCACAGATCTGAGTAGTTATGATTTTGGTACAGTCAGGAGAAGTTAGAATCGAAGACTGTGTGCCTGAAGTCTTCTTCACAAGCCTCAAGTTAAAGAGATAAACTAGTGTCTTAGGAATGCTGAATGGATACGGCTGATCCATTTACCTGGTGAATGTGAACTCCTGAGCTGGACATGGCCTTCAAAGCTCACTCAGCCAGCTAGACCTGGAAATTGAGCTCCTACTGGTAGCTCACCTTGAATGAATCAGAACAATTTCTGGGTGGGTGTAGCTCATCAGTTCAACAGAGACATGCCAAATGCAGGCTGGGTAATACAATTTACTCACTGCACGTAATATGTGAATGAAAAGAAGCCTTACACAAAGCCAGCAAAATAAGAAAAGGTGGGGAAAAAAAAGATACATGTCTAGAGAAGAGCAGCAGCATTAGTGCAGTTCATCTCAACACTGTGGCTGCAATGGCAACACCCAGGCCTGTATGCTGCACACCAAGCAGGGAGGGGGCACCACAAAATCTTTCAAGTCTCAAGTGAAGGAAATAGAATTAGAATACACACATAGTCTCAGCCAAGGATTAAAAAAAATAATAGTTTCAAAATAACTAACCCAAGATAATACTCCCCCGTGTGAAATGTCAGTGGAGACAACTGCAATTTTAATTTGGTTTCAGAAGTCAGGATCAACTGTACGCTGCCAGCTTCGAGAAGGTACTTGAGCAACGGGGAATATTGCTCAAAAAATCACTTGCTTTTCAACTGCAAACTCAAAATTAGCAAATATTTGACTCCAAGCCTTTAGTCTTGGGAGTCCTTTGGTTCAAAGGTCAGGGCTATTGCAAAGGTGGATGAGAAGGGCCCTTGACTGGAGCATAGGGATGAGAAGGAGGAAAACAAATATGATTGAATCCCTTTACCTTTAATCCTTGTTGATACTAGCCAGGGAGCAGCTTAATCTGAAAGAATTAGCATTGGTAAATAGTGTGAGACAGACAGGAGAGCACCCGAGAGATGGAGAAACAGGAAGAAGATGGCAAATGTGGTTGTTAAAAACAACCATCTCTCCTTGCATCCAGTTGCTGTGCCCACCCTGCCCCACTATCTCTAACTGAAGAACAAGAATGATGCAAGATGCATCTGCAACAGAGAAAGAGGATGATAGCTTCTTCTTGTCCACGTGGTTTGTTGGCTCCCTGTCTAAGCCTCCATCTTCACTGCACACACTCACTTCATCAACTTCGGAGGAAAGAGGCTGTGGGAGAAGGCAGATGTTGCAGCAGTTGGGAACTACAAACACAGAGCAGAAATACCTGCAGGGAAGGCAGGAGTTCCTTGAATCTTCCTTCTACCACTTAGTCACATCTATGGCAGAGAGGGAAAGAACCTCTTCTTGAGGCAACAGAAAATTCTAAGGGAGTAATGGATTACAGAGAAGGATTATAGAGAAGAAAGGGGAATACCCTATCTTCCTTTCAAGTCCCACACCCATCTCAGCATTTCTGACTTCTACAGTACAGTTACAGGAACATGTTATCACAAGCTAGACAAGGGCATTGATTCAAGGCTCTTCAGCTGCCCATATGTATCCAGGACACACAAGGCCCTTTATACCACCACCAAAGGAATAAGCTGCTAATTATTCAGCTTCAGTAAGAGTCCGGGCAGTTTTCAAAATGGGTAATGAACTGTCCCATAAGAATCTGTCCAAATAACCACACTTCAGGTTTACAGGTCCTTACCTGAAGGACTTGCACTGGTGTTGTGCAAACTTGATTCTTGCTGAAATGCTTCTAGTTGCAACATCAAGATGAACATGGCATTGATGAAGAAAAAGGAACTGAGAACAGATATTTAGCTTAGAAACATGCATAAAATGCTTCACTGCCCTAAGACCTCTTCACAAGTGAAGTTCATAAAGAAAAAGGTGATGGGAGTAGGAGGAAGAAAGGGGAAATGCAACAGTATAAAATATAGTATATTCACGCATTATAGTTTGTAAGCATCTTGAAGTATCTCAGCTTCTTCCTTTCTCTTCCTAAGACAGACAACAGGCATGAGAGATGCAAGCAAGCAAACTTGGTAAACCAGTCTGACAAGGAGACTACACATGGGGCAAAACAAGGAAGGCACTGAGATATTTTTGAGAGAGCAAGAGACAGGAGCAAGTGTTACTGGCATGGTCAGGGAACATGCCAAAGAGAGGGTGCTTCATGATACTGAGCATTAACTTGATGACTTTCAACCTGATGAGCAGCATAACAAGATATTGTAATGACTCAAAAAGAGCTGGTAAGATGGTCAAGCCACTGATGCAATAGCATCAACAACTTGAAAAGATTGGGGTGGGGTTGACTTTAGCACATAAAATCTAAGCAGCTGCACTGAAAGATGAGTATGGATGACAGTAGAAAAGAAGGGGCATATTTTGGGAATACCATGGAGTAATCTGACATGGTTAGGTTATGTTTAGAGAAACAAGAGTCCCAAACTGTTTTACTGATGGAAGAATTATATTTCCAGACATTACAGCTCCAAAGGAAACTTTCCGCATGTAATCCTATCTTCAGCAAGGGTGTGTCTGAACACAGATGCATGCTCTTAGTTAGGATGTGAATTCACAGGACACTTCATATGCTACATTAATTCCCATATGAATTCACTTCAGATTCTAGTTGCATGAATACTTTTGACTACCCTAAGACAGCAGTAGCACCTAAAAATTTTTATTCTCGCTGTCCCTATATTATCACCTCAACAGCAATGCGCAAATGTTTCTGCACGTCTGTGAGCTGGATCAAGGAATTAAATTGAGTCAATATGAACCACTTGGATGTGCTTCCCCCCCCACCCCGAAGCAGTTTCCTCCCTGTCTGTTGCAATTTGCTTCTCAAAATGCTGTTGGTGTTCCTACTTCTTTTGATGACTTGACGCTGTCATTTTATTCCATGTTCAAGGCTGTTGGCTCACTGCCATATATTCAACATTCCTAATACCCTTGCATGGATTAACTGGTAACCTAAAGTGGCCTGGATAATTGGTTTGATAGGGTCATTTATGAACTAACACAGCAGAAACATGGCACTAGCACATAGGAAGTTCATGGGAAGATCTTGATGTATGCATCCCACAGGGAAAGAAGAAACACTGATTTCAGAAAAAAAATTAATAATATTCTTTATTCAAAACGAAACAAAAATGTCACATCACCCTCAAAAAAAAAAAAAAAAAGAAAAGACAGACTCTCCTACAAATAACACTATTTTTCTCTCACATGCCTCCTTTATAACTTGTTTCCTGGGAGAAGAGATCGATCCCACACGGCTACAACCTCCTTTCAGGTAGTTGCAGAGAGTGATAAATAGTTGCAGAGGCTCATCTACTCTGAGCCTCCTTTTTTCCAGGATAAACAACTCCAGCTCCCTCAGCTGTTCCTCGTAAGATTTGTGCTCCAGGCCCTTCTCCAGCTTTGCTGCCCTTCTCTGGACATGCTCCAGCACCTCAATGTCTTTCTTGTAGTTAGGAGCCCAAAACTGAACACAGGATTCAAGGGGTGGCCTCACCAGTGCCGAGCACAGAGGGACAATCACTGCCCTACTCCTGCTGGCCACACTATTGCTGATACAGGCCAGGATGCCATTGGCCTTCTTGGCCCCCTGCATACTCTGCTGGCTTATGTTCAGCCACTGTCAACCTAGACCCTCAGATTCTTTTCCACTGGGCAGATTTCCAGCCACTCTGCTCCCAGACCGTAGCACTGCATGGGGTTATTGAGACCCAAGTTTGGGACGCAGCACTTGGCCTTGTTGAGCCTCATACAATTGGCCTCGGCCCATGGATCCAGCCTGCCTAAATTCCTCTGCAGCACCTTCCTGCCCTCCAGAATATCAACGCTCCAACTCAACTTGGTGTCATCTGCCAACTGACTGAGGGTGTGCTCGATCCCCCTTGTCCAGATCACCGATGAAGATGTTAAATAGGACTGTCCCAAATACTGAGCCCTGGGAAGCGCCCCTATTTACTGGGCCCCAGCTGGATGCAACTCCATTTCACCACCACTCTCTGGCCCTTCAGACAGTTTTTTTACCCAGTGAACAATACACCTGTCCAAGCCATGAGCAGCCAGTCTCTCCAGGAGAATGCTGTGGGAAACAGAGTCAAAGGCTTTACTGAAAGTCCAGGCAGACAACATCCACAGCCTGTCCCTCATGCAGTAAGCAAGTCATCTTGCCATAGAAGGAGATCAAGTTAGTCAAGCAAACCCTTGGCAATTAAGAGCAGGTTCATATTATTCCATATTATGTGAAGCAATAGTGGACAACTAAAGAGGAGTTAGCACTGGAATTGAACTATGAACATAAGCCATCACATGTCCTGACATCAGCAATTTTGATTTAAACTGATGAGGGCAAGAACCTGAGTCAGTCTGTGAGCACAAAAACAGGAGCAGCTCGAGACTCAGAGACAATGCATCTGCAAGGGCAAGAATGAAGCAATACTTCTCATGATGCAAGTTACTGAACAAGCCAACAAGGTGTTTTTGTGGAAGTGGTCCAGTACACAAGTGTACTAATGATGTTATTTTAGGGTTGTTTTTAATCGAGAATATTATTTAATGTTAAAATAACTACAGGTGTATTTTGGTTTTGTATTTTGCAAGCCCATCACCAGACTACTCTTTCAGGTTATCAGTCTCTTGGATTGTATTTCCTAAGTTTTCTTCCTCTTATCTGCAATATTAATATGTTAATAGAAGGAATCATTAAATCTAGAAGCTGGATAATTTCTGCCATTAATAAACAACCTACCAGTTTCATGTGTTACCTAAAATTGCTTTGAGATGGGAAATTTCAGAAATGTTTTTGTAACAATGACTACTTCCTGATGGGAAGAAGGAAGCTAAGCTGGATCATGCCAAAGAGCACTCCAGGAGGAGCCTCAAAACCAACCTAGATGACTTATGTGATTTCATTTATCTCAAGTAAACACTGTTTTAGAATTCAGAAGTGTAAAATATGGATTAAAAAAAAAAAAAAGGATTCACGATCATGATTTGATCTCTAAAATGGATTGCAATTTCTTTGGTATTAACAAATAATCTGTTTCAATTTTATGTTTTAGTAGAGGCAGTTCAACAAGTTACTCTGACAGAAGACCCTGGGCATGGATGGTTCCTGCAGAGGATGGCATGAGAGCTTAGTGGAGTGGTGGGGGTTGGACTGGAAAACCCTGCCCTGCCAGACTCCAAGTAGTTTGCTGTGCTGAAGGCTAGTGCTACATGCATCCATTTTATGTAAAGAATGTATGTGGTTATACTGAGTAAGTCTAAAATCACTAGAGAGAATGGAAACTGCCAGATATCAATAGATTAGAAGAGGGAAACTTTTAGAACAGTGCCTCTATTTAGAAGATGAATGTTGCTCACCTAACAATACACAAAAGCAAACACTCTGTGACATTTAATTCACTGATATACAACCAAACTGACAAGCTGAAAGACTCTGGTAAAGCATCCGCAACTCCACATTCATGGCAAATTGCTTAGTCAGCCTTAAGAGACATAAGCTTCTGCTAAGTAACCAGCAAGTAGAAGTATAATAGCCCTTCAATTGTACACTGGTATTTATGATCTTGGTTTCTTATTTTTATTTTACTATTGTATTTTACTTTTGTTTATTTTACTGTTGCAGAGTCCTACCATGTTAGGGACCATAAAAAACCAGAATAAAGGCACAGCCCATAATGTAACAAGTTAGTGTTTAGTTGACCTTCATTTCTTGAAGTTTTTGTGTTTTGCTAAAGTCTTTGCTCAGACCTTTGTAACACTGATCCATAATTTTTCTTTCCTTTTATGAAATTCACTTTTTATTTAGCTAGGATTCACATATACTATTCCAAAAACATCTAAAAATCTGTCTTAATTAAGCAAGGCAGAACCTTTACTTGAACCTTTACTTGACTGCTTTGTCAAGTCAACTTTGTACGCAAAGTACTACGTGACTAAAGTAATTTTACTTCACTCAGGATCTAAGCCAGCATAAAGCACACCAGCTCCAATGATATTTACACCAACTCTTTGCTACAAATTCAGGAAGGGGGGGCACTTATCTGTGGAAAGTAATTTTCTGTTGATACTGGATTATCAGGTGAACTTTCTCAACACTTCCTTTTCCAGACACTCAGACAGTCCTGAACTACGGGTACAGCAATGCTGTCAAAGCACTGGGATGAATCTTGGAAAAAATTAATTACACAGCTAGTGTTTTAATGATTTGTCATCTTTCATCTGATCATTTACAATAGAATAGTCAATATCCATTTCCTTCTATCAACCTCACCTTTAAGGTAAGTTTTCCTTTTCTTACCATCACAATAAAGAAACAGACAAGTCATACTTGCAGCAATCTTGACATGGTTTTATTACACAACATTTTCAAAGTCTTGTGCAATGTAAGCCTTCCCTTCATATTCATAACATCTTAAACTACCTACCTTCTGCATTAAGATGCATGGTTTCCAGAGGTCCAATAAATGCATATCGCATTCCCAATCCGTCAGACATCACAAGGTCTAGATCAGTAGGAGATATTACTCCTTCCTAAGTAGCAAAAGTAGAACAGGAAGGAAGGCTGGTGAATGCTTGCTTTTAATATAAAATTTCATGGGTTTTGTATATAACTAAAAAAATTAAAGAAGTAATAAAATCTAAGGCCAGAAATAGCAGTTAGCTTGCAAAGAGAAACAAAACTGCTTGCCAGAAACGCCCATCTATTATACAAGCCTTCCTATGGCTCAGTATAAGCACTCATTCATATCTCTAAGATTGCTGTACTTCATAGTCCAACTACGCTTGTTACATTTTCAAGTATTTTTTTTAATTTATAAATTAATATACTTTTTACATACAGTATGTACTATTTGTACACACTAGTTTGCCTGACACTTATTACTTTCAATAATTTGTGTACTAAAACTAAACTAGAGATGTGTATGTTAACCAATATCCATTTTTTCCCCACAGAAACTGAGAATCAGAGAAGCAAGCGAGCATGACACTCTTAATACCACATGACCAGAAGAGCTTATATCAAACCTAAGTACTGTACTAACCCTTTCAAATAAGGGAGTTTTGGCTGAGTGTTACACCTTCCCTCATACTCTCTCAGTTTTGGACTTTGGGACACAGTCATAGTTAGCAGAATGGTAGTGCAGCAGTGGGTATTACTCCTGAGGCCACTTGCAAAAAAGGCTGGGACCAAACATGCAGGCAATGCAGTTGCCACTCCCTCCCATTAAACTCATCGAACATTCAACCTACCCAGCCTCAACCTGCCCAGGATTCTCAAGTTCATTGCCAGCCTCCCATTTCAGAGCTGGCAGGATACAGAGCATGCAAAATGAAGCATTTTGGTGCTAAATGCTAAGCACTGCTATTCCACCCACGTGGTAGCACTTACAAGAAAGCCAACGCCTCCATCAGGTTAGGGCAAGCACAGGAAAGCTTGTAAAAAAATGAGTTACAGTTCATTACCTTAAAAGATTTATTTGAGAAGAATACTATTTATTATATGAGGTTGTTTTCACCTACCAGAAAGACATGAATTAACTAAAACTTGTTCTAACCACTTCTATCAGCTAAAGTTTAGTTTCAAGAATTTGTCCTCTTTATTCACAGAGACATAAAAATATTGCCTTCAGGTTTAGGAAGGTGGAAGAGGTTCTGAACTGCTTCTAATTTGTCTTCTCACCCTACTCTGAGGTGCTGTCCTCACTGAGTGCCTCTTTCCTAACAAGCCCCTTTGAGCTGCAGAATACAAGTATGTATACTCATTTGCTTGGCCAAAGACACACCTTCTTCTGTTAAATTTCCCTCTTGCAGGGCCTGAATGCCCCTTTGTAACACACAGGCATCAGCTAGAGTTACAGGCACACAGGACAACAACCTGTAGTAGACACTGACATCTGAGCTAGACATCTAGACTCTCTTTGTAATCACTAGGAAGAAAAAGGAAATCAGCATCCTAAAGCAGGCTCCTAGAATAGATAAGATGAGTTGTGTCCTAAAAGGGCCTAATTCTCCTCACCGATTGAAAGATGAGTAAGGATCTTAGATGTCAAAGTCTACATTGTAGACATCCCATCTTAAGTGACCTTATTCTCACCCCACAATGTCTTCCTGTGTTCATCATCTACATCATCTACTGCTGCTTTAAAAGAAAGTTATAAGCCAAGAACCAACATAACTTCTACAGCTGGCCACAGACATCGTTTTGTCATCTCAGGCTTAAACAGGGACTTTTATAATATGATCTCAAGTCTCAACTTGTCAATTGCTCCTATCAAAAGCAAGCCTGTCTGAATCCCTGTGGCAGTTGGCTTTATAACTCTACTTTGAAAGAGAAACATTACCAGAATTATTAAGATCTATGCACCATATATGGAACACATGGTTCTGGGAACAATTTAATTAGACACTAAATAGCAGGGATAAAAAAGCATTATTTTCTTCAACTTAAAGGTAAAGCACAGGCACGGTAAAGTAACTCATCTAGAGGCAGACAGAAAGATAGGACTAAATGAAAACCTCAGACAGAATTCAGATTAAAGACCAGCATCAGTGTAACTAACACAGGCACACAGGCACCACAGGTTCTGTGAATGCTTTTTCTCCTGACGTGGCAACACAACTTCTCTGAACAACATCAGCAAAGTCAACAAAAGTGCTCTTCTGTTGGGGGTGCTTCATTTAAACAATGAGTTGTGCTGGTAAAGCTGTGCTTGACGAGTGTTTGTTTCCCCCCACCCCCACCGCGGTTGACAAGGATTTGTGGACAAAAGATTAACCACAAATTCCAGACAAGCATTTGAACCACAGCAGCAGTTAAAAACTGTAAACATGGAGTTAAAAGAGTTAACAGCCTCTTGAAGCACTTCAGAATAATTGCAAATTAATTTTCAAATTAAAAACTTATTTATTTATTTTGATAGCATAGTCCTAAGCTTTGATACTGACATTTGAAGACCAGGTGCCCTCTGAATCATGAGATGAGTGCTTTGCTCTTGGTCTTTTGACCATAGCTGCAACTGATGTTTACAGGTGCTAAAAGGCAAAAATTGTTGCTACTGGAAGGAAAACATGACAGATCCCTTCAGCTGAGAGACATAGTATTTTATACACACGAGCTCAGCTTCTGTCACATAGACCCTCTTAAAGTAAAGGTTCTTGCTTTTCCTCTTCAGATATTAAAAACACATAAATGATTAACAAGTTAGACCGTCCTCCCCTAGGGAATAACCCTACACCCACTTATGTTAAGGACATCTTAAGTTGGTGCAATGATTCAGCAGGGTGGGTGCAAGGTTAGCAAAGTGTCTTCCACAAGGATTGGTATTTATGCTAAGCGACAAACAAGAGTTCCAACCCAGTTTCATTAAGTCTAGGTGTGAAATAATCTTCCCAAGGGGAGTTTTCATCCTGGATTACCCTTTTTGTAAGCCCTCGCCTCCAGCACTTGTCAGAGGGAAGAAGAATGGTATTAAGAGTTCACTAGAAGCTCTTGAACTTCAGAATTAAGATCTTAATTTAAAATAAATTCCACCAAAATCCTCAGTGGTCCCAATGGCCAGTCAAACTTCAAAATCTAGACCAGTTCAGAATTCTCCACACTTCTTATGACACCACAAGCTCATTTTCCTGGAGATTTTAATCTCCAGTGATGCCACAGTACTGTCCTAATGAGCCTTTGGTATTCTATTAGAGCTTCTCTCTATGCAGGGACACTTTTCACCTCTCCAAAAACCTGTGGCGGTTCTGAAGTATTCACCTTTGGGCTCTGACCCAACCTGCTTGGTTTTAATCAACAGTCTTTACATCTGTGACTCACACCCACATCGCAACTTCTGTCACTGACTTGGTTTGTAATTATATTAGATGTAGCACGGCCAAAACCCGCCAATCTCACTTTTTTTCATTCTACCAATTCATCATATTCTCCTACTCACTCCACTTAGTTTATAGAATTATTTTGGACTCCACTGTCTCCTGGACCACCTAATTTCTGTCTCCAAATCTGCCACTTCATTCTCTGTATCTCCCAAATCCGGTATTCTTTTTTTTCTGATTGTCACTAATATATGCATTCTCTCTCAGCAGCACTTGTTACACCCTTCTCTTCACTACCACTTCAATCAAGTCCCTTACATCTACACCCTGATGAGATCTTTTTCCAGTCCTGTCATTTTGAGCAGATAACTTTTCTCCTATATCTCTCCCCCAGCTTCATCTTTGTGCATCTCATAATGTTTGAGAAACTTGTTGCCCTACACACTTCATACCTACTTTGCTGGCCTTTAACTTCCTTCTTCCATGGCACCTTCACTCACCTCACACTGTAAGAAACACTTAATATCAACATTTTTTTATCCCTGTCCCTTTAAACTTCCTTTTATGATGTTGCCCTTTTACGGGGCACTGTAACTAGATGTTTAACCCTATACATTATCTTTGCTCTTCTGGAAAAGTCCTCTGGATAATGCTATATAATTAATAGTAAGGAATTTGAAATTTAGTAAGCCTTGCCAGCATTTAAGGACTGTTAAGCTAATCACCTGAGAATGGAGAGGTACATAAACTAAGGATTTAAGCAAATGCATCTGACTTCTGTGAAAACAAATCAAAATGGACACACAGCCAAACCATGACTTTATTTTCCAAAAGATTAACAAAAATGGCAGGCTGCCCATTCTTCTGGTCTTTTACAGTGATTACAACATATAAGAAAACCCACCTGTGAAGAAAAAAACCACATTTAAGACAGTATTAAAAACTTACATAGAGGGAAGCAGAGACTCTGAAGACATTTACACAATCCGTCCTGCAAAGTAGTTTTAATGGGTTCTCAAAAGCAGTTGAAACTCCTAAATTATATCAAGGCTAAAAAACTGTCATGTTCCCTTTGCTATCTCTGCTGCTGTATTTTATGATCTCCTTGCAAATTCCAGGTGATGTTTAGAAAAATATTTCAAAAAGTAAATTCCACTCAATAATCCACAGTTAAAGGACAGCCCTAGATATTCAGAGTAAGGCTTGAGACATCTGGACTGAAGTGTTGGTGAAACTCTCTGGTTGTTATTTTCTGGGTTATGTCAATCAAAACTGTACCTTCAGAACAAGAAAAAGTCAAGCTATTTAAATAACAAGCTTTTGCAATGTAATCCCAAACTACTATAGAATGTATTGGTACTGGTAAAAGTACAAAAGTAATAGTGTCTGCAGTGCACAGGGTGCTTCCCAGGCAAATGAAGGCATTAAGTCACTGCTCCAAGGAATTATGAACACAATCAGATACCTGTGACCACTGCAAATGGAGATGTGAGAAAGTAAATAAAAGGTAAGAGAGACTAACAGAGAAAGCAGTTTGAGATATTTTTTGTTATTGGCTATAGGGTATTCTAATGGTTCCAAACTGGTAATATCAAAATTTAGGGTTGAGAAGAGAGGAATAAGGATCTTTGACCTCAAGACCTCACAGTACATCTTTTACTGCCATAATTATCAGCTTTGCAACACTTCTACCAGAGACCTAAAGACCAAAAACATAAACAAGAAACCTACAAGAACATCAGTCTCACATAGGCTGTGAGGTCCTGCAGAAAGTTATCAGCCCTAAAGAGACAGACTGGAGTGTTCCTGGTATCTGCTTTTTCATGGAATAAGTGTGGAGCATGAGGAGACAGAGAGAACTGATGCAAGAAGTTCCTGCCACAAACATCTGCACTGCCCATGTGCTCATGACGTGCAAGTCAAAACAATGCTCAAAAAGACATCTTGTCACAAAAAGAGTAACTTACATCCAAAATGAAAAATCTCTTTGTAGCACTCTTGCCTCAAAGGAAGCACTTGCTTGAATTACATATTTTAAACCCATAAATGAATCTATAGACTTCGCTTCTAAATTCTTGTAAAATCAAACTTCTGCATCCCTTAACCCTAATTATCCACATGACCAAAGTTCTCAGCACCCAACTGTATGTCTCCAAATCAGTTTTCATTCTCCTACCTTCCTACAATTCGAATCTCAACTTTCAGGCCTCTTAATCTTTTACCATCTGAACTCCACACTTCCTACTCCCGTATCTAGTCCAGTCCTACATTCATAGGATTAATTAGTGCGGTTATTTTGGTCAAGAATGCGTTATTAGTATGTCCCTCCTGTTATCATTTGCAGTTGATCTTCCACCCCCAGGTTCTTCTTAGAGTAAGGAAAACATTTGTTTACTCACATAGATTATAAAATCAGTGTGAGTAAAACTTGATTTTTAGGAGTCTCTCAAAGACTGAGAGTTGGGGAGGCTGATGTTTTCAACAATAGGATCTGAAAAGTGACTTCACGGTTAGAAACAAGAAGTATTCCTCTCCATTTGGAAAGTGGAAAACACCAAAAGAACATGACTTGCAATAAAAATTACTGTGTTGGCAGCACAACAGTGGAAACACACAAACTGCCCCAGGCCTGCAAGCTCTCACCTATCTGCAGTGATTCTCCCCCCATCAAAGGCACTGTGCAGCCTGAAGTCATACAGCTGAAACTACACAGCTTTGACAGCTGCTCTTTGTTCAGGCTTCCCGAACCGAAATAGAGCCACCAAAGTTGTTACAGTCTAAATGTACATTTGCCTGAAATGCAATAAATTTATAAAAGAACTGAACGACTTGGAAACTTCGATGATGCACAACAAAAGCAACTTTAATTATCTGTCAGTGCTCCAAGCCCTATTTTATTACTACTCATATCACCACCCCCCATACAAAAGCATCCATAAAGGTTCATACTAAAGGTTCACCTCAACTCAATACCTCCCTTCATAGTAACCCGTGAAGTGTTCTTGCACTCTTTCCACAGCTGAAGACCAAACACAGATTGATACTTTCAATGATCTGGACTGCTGGGAACTGAGGCAGTACCTTCTTTGAGACTCTGACAACTGGAGGTTGCTTCTGCACAGTCTAACATGGATGTGTCCAAGTGATCCTATTCAAATTTAGCATCCTAGCTTACTATGGCAGCAGCCTCCACAAGTGAGTTTGCCCTCAGAGATGTAAAAGAATCCTACTAGATTTTTGAGGCATTACTGCCCTGAATACCTGTGCTGACCAAGCATGTTACCAGACTTACTGGTCCACAATTTCCCAATGATTCTTTGATTTTTTTTTTTAAAAGAGCTACAGCATGCTGACTTCCATTTCTACAGTATTTTGCTAGACAGTGTGTAAAATGGTGATTAAATTAGTATTTCATCAACTTCATATTTCATATGATCCTCAGAGAAGTTTCATTTCTCTTTCATGGTCTGTCATTACCCATTTACTCTTTCCTCCTCCAAAAACCTTATTTTTAAAATGACTTATTCTACATCAGAGTTCTCCCTTTTAAGGAGAGGTTCCCACTGTGTAACTTCTTTAACAGTGAATGTTGCAGTTCAGCTAGCTTTCTCCTCATGAACTTACCTTCCTTGTCCACAATTTGGAGTAGTTGCTTTACATTTTTATTCTCAAAAATATTTCTTTTCACCAGTATTTCCATGGTTTCAAAAATAATATAGAGGTTAATTTAGATAGGACCAGACTCTTTTCAGTGGTGCCCAGCACACAGGACAACAGGCGACAGGCACAAACTACAAATTCAGAAAGTTCCATCTGAATAGGAAGGTAAAATTTTTTACTTTGCAGGTGATGGAGCACTGGAACACGCTGTGGAGTATTCTCCTCTGAAGATACTCAAAACCACCTAGATGTGATCCTGTGCAACCTGTTTAGTAAGGGGGTGGGACTGGATGATCTCCAGAGGTCCCTTCCAACCCCAAGTATTCTGTGATCCTGTGTTGCTACCGTTTCTATCCTCTGACTTTCAAACATGACTACAGCTTTCTGAAGGGGTTTTTCTTATCATAAACTTGAGACTTTGTATTAAATGTTTAATAAAGAAAGCCATTTTTAAAATTTAAATAAATATCTCCAGAAGATAATTTCCTTCCTAACGATATTGTTTTCCTTATTATTATTCACGACCTCCTTTATATTGTTGTATTATGTTGCTAGTGAAAGCCAGCCACAGGTAAGCAAAATCAGTTCAGCAACTACGTTGAGATACTTCTTTGAAAAAGAGATGCTTTATTTATGATAATATTACCTTAGTGTTAAGATCTTTACCTATCTTTGTGTGCACGGTTGTTTTAAACAGCTTGAAAAGTTAAAACACTTCCCACAACAAAAAAGTAAAGCCCTATTCAAGCCCAGCTGAAACTCATCTCAAGAGAATAGCAACAGACTCATAACTCAGCTCCTGATGATGAAAGATCAGACTTTTCAGCACAGAACAGGTAACTGTGAGAAAACCTGAAGGGACACAAACAAGTGATTCTCGGCTAGAAGTCTGAATGGGCAGGAGGAGGAGAAATCTGTCTTTACCTACAAGTATCAAGTAACAGTTGAACTTATGAGTGCAATTTCTGAAAGGCCAAAGGGAAAACCATTTAAAATATTACTTTCATAACCAGTGTCCAGCAGGCCAGCAACACTAATAAATAAAACAAAATGAGAAGACAGCCTACAAAAAAGAAAAATCAGTATTTTGATTTCTATGCTTTTAAGATTTTTCTTTTTATTGTTCTGAAAATAACAATATTCTGAAAAGAAGGCAAACAAAGAATAGTTGTTATGCTCACATCTCACTTGTTTTTGCCAGTCTTTTCTATTTATAACTGACATAACTTCCGACTGATTTTAATCTACATGTTAAATATATATTTTATGTTCACAAGGGACAGCTTAACAATGATTACACAGATTTATAGGAAGTTTAAATATACATCTCACTTGTCACATCCACAAAACTGACCAAGTATGTGTGTAGATACCAGAAAAAATATATACATACACTCACAAGTCTCCAGGCTTCACTTATCACTGCATACTGTAGTCGATTCAGAACAAACCCTTCAATTTCTCTGTTTAGTTTGACAGGAGATTGACCAATCTTCTTCATCAGGGCATATGTTCTCTCTGTAGTAGAAGGATCTGTTTCTGGATGAGGAATAATTTCAACCAATGGCACAAAGTAAGGCGGATTTACCTCAAGAAGAAACACAAAAGAAGAATGTCAACCATTAATGGAACAAGTTAATATAAAGCATCTTTAGAGAGGCTACTAGCTTGGATATTTTCCAGTGAACACAGCAAGCATGATATTCTGATCCTGAAAGACTTCACCAATCCAATAAAAGCCGGTGCATTATTTCAAATTAAAAAAAAAAATAATTAATCTTGCACTAAATTGATCTCTGTTTAACCCCAGCAAAGTTCATGGGGCTACACTAAAGATGACAGCACTCAAACAGTACTACAAGACTTTATATTGACTTGAGTAACTGATGCTTTCTCAATATTCAGACTGCTTATTGTTTTAAGTCATATGGTCATCTTTGTGTAATGTATTTTTGAAGTAAAAACCAAAAAATCATTAAGAAGATTCTGGAAACAGCTATAAGCTCTTCAGGTCACAGTGTTATAGAGAGAAACACTGCCTTGCACGCTCTTTCCAAAGTAGCAGTCCTTCAGCCCTACTCCTAAGGTGTTAAACTCAGCTTTCCGTCTAGTTTCCAGGCAATAGAAGGAGCTAGCACGTCACAAATGACTACTAGGAATAACAAGGTTTAAAGGATGGTAATTAAGTACTGATTCTTTCATCATGCTCCTTTATAGTCAACTACTCTTAACTGTGCTCATGTAAATGTAAGTATGTGATTTAGTCACAGCAACGTGAAAACAGTCTTTCCTCTCTGCATGTTCTTTCTGGTGACCAGTGACAGGACCCGAGGGAATGGCCCGAAGCTGCGTCAGGAGAGGTATAGGTTGGATATTAGAAAAAGGTTCTTCACCCAGAGGGTGGTTGGGCACTGGAACAGGCTCCCCAGAGAAGTATTCATGGCACCAAGTCTGACAGAATTCAAGAAGCATTTGGACAGTACTCTCAGGCACATGGTGTGACTCTTGAGGATGGTCCTGTGCAGGGCTAAGAGCTGAACTCGAATGATCCTTGTGGGTCCCTTCCAACTCAGAATATTCTGTGGTTCTGTGACTCTTCTCAATATTTACATGGTTCCCTTTAGGGAACCCCTGTAGGGTCTGACCAATGCATAATCTGATGTATGTTACACCTGCTCTAACTACTGATGTAACACACTTCGTTCCCTTTAAAGTGCCTCCTGCCCCACATAGCCTTTCTCACATCAGTCTCTTTGGCAGTGCCACCACTGATGCCAAGAACAGCACAATGGACACCATCGCAGGTGAAGTGCCAGGCAACTGAGCAAGACCCAAAACACTACAAGCACCAAGCCATTATCTGAAGGCTTTCCTAACCCATAAGTATATCACAGGTTCCAATCAGAAAGAGGACAAGTTAATTATCAAGGGAGACTGGAGCTATTAAAAATTTCTTCCAAGATTAGTGTTGACAATGATCTTATTGAAATATTCCATTTCATGAATTTGGCATGGGGAGTATATGGGTGTGCTCGTGAGCACACTGAGGAGACCTGGGAAGACAATTTTTCAGGAGTGAGGTAACAAATGTTGGTAAAAACTAGAAGTGGTAAAACATACATGAAATAAGGAATAGGGGAAGATTTCTAAAAATAAGAAGCATTTCAGGAAACAAAAGGTTACCTTAGTCTAGGAAAACAAAAGCTGAGAAAGGATACAACAAAGAAAATGCTAAAAATAATTAAGCTGCACAAAAGCTGTCTACATATATAAAAATTAAATTTAATGGACTGTTAATTAGATTGGAACAAAAATTAGAAGACACAAACAACTTCTAACAGGACTAGTGGAGTTAAAAGAAAAACTAACAGATAGAGTTTAACATATATTCAGGATTATTTGATTACAGGGTTTCCTGTATAACAGGGGACTTGACTCAATGGCATAGTCTCCTCTAGCTCAATATTTCCATCATGTGACCTAGCAGGTGTATATAGTACATGAAAAGAGAACAACTCTGCAGCAGACTTCTACTGATACACTGCCTGAAACTGCTCTCAGAGAACAGCTGTACCTGTTTTGTATTGTATTGTAAGTATTGTGTGAATTTCTATCATACAGCTGTGCTATGGGATTTAATTTCTTTTTTTAACATTACTGAACCATGTTAAGCAAAGGGATGAGCTGCTTCTGCGCTTCGGGCACTTCATTTTATTTCACCTCAACATCCTCACCTGTGTCAGAGGCTCTACAACTTTAGCTTTGAATTAATTTTCAGATTCTACATTTGTTTTCAGTGTCTTCCAGAGCTGCTTGCTTTCTGCAGCCACCAAGTCCTAGTGTTGTGTTTGAGATCTTATTAATGGCAAAAACACCCAAAAACCAAAATCAAATAAAAAAAAAAAAAACACCAAAAGACATTATCTACAAAGCAATTACCTACATTACCATTACACTACAAAGCAAATGTATTTCCTGATATAACAGATGCAGAAAGGCCCCTGGAAGAGTACACTGGCTTACAGGTTCTCCAGTATAGCTGAGATTACTAAGAAAATAGTCTCAGTTGGACTACAAAGTCATTTCAGAACAATTAAGATATTTTAAGGCACTTCAGAGCACTTGCTTTGAAAAACTACATACATTTTTACAACAGCAACCTAGGAAATGTTTATGCAGAAACACCTTTCAAAGATACTTTTCAAATATATTCATACCTTCCCAGATCTGACAAATCTGATTTCAGGAGCAGTTCCTATAAAGACTGCAGTTCAGACTAAACAAAGTCAACTGGTACAAACCAAATTAGGAAAACAGTAAGAGTACAATAAAATAAAAGACTGACAAACAGGCAGGCAGCCAGGAACTGGTTAAAAAAAACCAAAAATTGTATAGTTACTTAATACAGAAGTCTAGAAGAAATGTTATCTCTTCTCTTGCACTACAGAAAGTTATAGCCCTGGAAACATGACACAAGGAACTTCTTAATTTCAAACTGGAGAAAGGCTCAATCTAGGCACAGACACATACTTTGAAGTTGCACTTTGTTTTTTAATTAAAAGGGATCAAAACCTATTTATATAGAAACAAAGCAATCCTTTTTTTCCCTTTGCCACCCAGTCACTTCAAGGTACAAGGATGTTGGTGAAGGGGTGTCAGAATGGCTCTGATCAAATGCTTTGACACTACAGCATTAGGCTACAGGTAGCTGTACATACACTACAGTAAAGTAGTGCTGTATTTTTATGTTCTTGAGCATGCCCAGGGAATTGACATTTATTTTATACGCTGAGGGATGCCCTGCAGAGACATTATGACCAAATTGTAGAAACTAGAGTAGTAACTTTCTCCAGGTACTGTACACCTTCACAACCACAGTCCTCTTAAGAGATCGGTCAAACACCAGATTAACATTGGGCTAACAAATTCATTAGCTTATTAAGTAAGAAAACAAAAGCAGTAGGAATCCCAGTGATCAAGATAAAATGCTCTTCCATGCTGAGAAGAGATGTGATAAACTGCTGTCTGCAAGTTTTACATAGACCTTTACAGAGGCTCACAAGTACCCTTCGCAATTTTGAGGTTCTGCTGCAACCTCTAGTCATGCCATTTCTGCATCACTGCCCTGTCCCAGTTGGTCGTGAAGCATGCCAATTCAGCTCCAAGTCCAATTTGTTCCATTTCATCATTCCTTCATTCCTCTTTCAGGTATACTTCTGCACCACAAATGTGAAGAAACCAGAGTTCAAACATTTCCATCTTTCATCAACATTACCCGACAAGCACATGCAGCTCAGTGTTTGGATTCTTACTCTTGCCCAAAAGCAGCTGAAAAAGGATACTACAAAAGACTAACCATGGCACAAGAAGAAAGTAGGCAATGTTAGAGGTTTGTATTAAAAACACGGAATTCCAACATTTTGAAAGCCAATAGTTTGAGAAACGCACAACAATATGAGCACAACATCTTACACAGGACATACTGAGCCAACACTATGAAATGTGCATATATTCTCTCAATTTAGTAGATGCTGCTGCTCACAGAATGAACAAACTACACCTTTTTTGAAAAGCTGGGTCCCTGCACACTAACAATGGCACAAAGAGACTCCAAATACCCTTCTGTGTCTTTCAGTCTACAGGAAGGAGTTTGGGATGCAGTTTATACAAAATCAAAAACCATGCCATCATACTTACAGGATGTGACACAATACACTGCTTAACATGTTTAAGGCCAGTGAACAATTTGCTGGGTAAGAGGCAAGAGGTCGAGCTGCTCAAGATAACATTGTCGCCCACAATAAGATCCAACTGACCAAAAATCTTCTTTTTTAGTTCCAAGTTCTCTGGAGTACATTCCTGGAATAAAAACAAATGTGGGTATTAGGAATCATCTAGTTCAAGAGTATCTATCCATATATTCCAGACTTCACTGATCCCATCTTGACACCTAGGAACTCAGCACAAACCATTTATTTTAATCAAACTAGATATACCAGTGAGCCATAACACAAAAATACCTTCCCCATTGATAAAAAAATGGAAATCTTGAGAGCTTCTCTACAGCAGAAGATGGACCACCACACACTACAGGAAATATAACACAAAACAAATGATACTGCTTTATCTAAAGTGTAGACATTTACTCACATACAGAGATAATACAGTGTAGAATAATACTCCTTTTTTTTTTTTTTTTTAAAGAGAATCTCACATGATAGTAGTCAGTGTTCTCTCAGATAAGATAGAAATAAAGAGGTGTATCTCAAAAGAAGACAAACTTACAATCTACAGAACTATGGCAGGAGATACCAAGGTACAGCTCTGCAACCTACACTGAAACAATTCTCAGAGTTGAAATGAATGGAGATACTTAAATATTTCAAGTGTGAGGAAGATTTCTGAAGTAGAATGCATGCTATCAAAACTTCTCCCAAAGCTACTGAGCATCTTCAGCTCTACAGTATTGTGTGAAATTTCACATGTATGAGCCAAGAGCCACAATCTACAGTAACTAGATTTCCAAAGTTATTTCCAGAAGCTGCCTGAAGGAGAGAACGCAGAAGTCCACTAGTCTGAGAGCAGCAAGGACATGAGAGAGTAACTACAGTGGATCCCACAATCAAGAGATCAAAGCCAGTTTGTTTTCTGGGTTTTTTGGAAGGGTTTTAAAAAAACCCAAACAGCATCCCAAAGTTGCAAAACCTCAGCTTTCCCCTTAAAACACAGAAAATACCCACTCTTTTCCAGCTCTAACCTTCTCCCACCTGTCAGTACTTCATTCTCTCTTTCCTGTTATGCTGAAATGCACATGGGAGCAGGGAAAAAGGCCACACATTTGACATAATCCAAAATTTACATTTAATATCTTCAGCTTCAGACAGCCTCAGTGTCAGGAATACCCAGAGCTACAGTTTTTAACTGAGTGAAGGGGTTAAAAGTAATTTGAAGTCTTAAAAAATAAGTTTCATGGAATGGCACTAAAGGTTCCATGATGCAAAAGAAATAAACAGGGTCATTTAAGAACTCCAGATAGAGCCCAAAGTATTAGACGGTCTTATCTAAACAAAATGATACTCTGCTCATAGTTCCAGAATCCCTGCTTGTTGGTTAGGTTTAAATAGTTTCTTTTAGCAAAGCCAAAGATGACGAGAACTCTGCAGATACTGTTCAAGCTAATAAAAGAGCTGTTCTGAATAGGTTTGTGAACTTGAAATTCTAAGCCTGCTCTCACATCAGATGATAATCAAAAAGGCAAACTCAAATCTGCTGGAAACTCAAACCTGCCATGGTTACGTAAGGTTTCTGAATGGGCCATTTGCTTGAAGTTTCTTGTATAGTGTCACAATTGTTTTCAGGTTGTTGGACCACTGCAATAAAGTTTCTGTTCTCAAGCATGCCATTATTTTCTCAGAGACACCAATTCCCTAAAGAACACGGGGAAAATTAAACTCTAAACAATTCATTAAATAGGAACCTCACTTGCTGTCAGTTATGGAGCCTGGAGAGGTCTGAAGCTACTCTGTTTACCCTGAGAAAGAAAAGATCAAACAGAGAGCAGGTAAGATACGGTTTTAAAGCTGCCACAGTCTCTCTCAAACAATCAGTGCAAAAAGGTTACATGCACCTCCCCGCATTTTAAGTGACACTGTATATTTCTGTGCCCTTTTCTTAGGGAAGATCATACTTCTCGTTTGCAGTGAACCTTTCCAAGGACCGATCACTTAAACAAGGTTGCTACTAATCTGACTTCCAATTTAAACTTTATTAGACTTAACAGCCTAATCAAAACATGACAGTTGCTAACTTTTAAAACCCACTTCCTGGAAGAGTTGTACTGAATTAAAGGCTTAAAGGTTAAAAGTAACAGGCATTACACTATTCAAATACATGTTCAGAGAACACATAGGAGTTACTTGACCAGCGTATGAACTCTTAAAAGAGTTACACAAAGATCAACACGTACTAGACGCACTCCCCTAGCTAACAATGATACCCTGACAAGGTGATCGAGGTCTAGTTGCCCCTAATTAAAAAGTTGCACTCATATGACACAACTCCTGGAATGCGTGTATATGGAAAGCTAGGGAGTTTTATGTGTTTAAATCCAGTGTCTCTTTGCTTCTGTATAGGCCTTTCTCACCATGCTATCCACCATCTGTGCTCCACACGCACCCACACTCATTTAAGTGCACAGCTTCATTTATCTATATTTAAATGTTGGCATCTAGTCAGGTTCTTCCCACCCATTCTCAAATGTGCCAAGATAGCAACTCACCTGTACTTTCTGGGAAAACACTCTCCAAAACACTATCTTGCAAAATACCTTTTCCTAGGTGTTTAGCAATAAGAATCGCTGCCAAGCGATTTATTAGTACTGGAAGGCAAAAGAAGTGAAGCACGGCCTCAAGCAAAGCACTGCAATACAGTGGTATGGCCCTAAAACAAGTGATACCGTCTCCACAAACATGGTAACACATAAGATGAAAGTCACATATTTAAACTAGCATGCAGAAGGGAAAACATTAGCAACCATTCAGCAACAAGCAAGTCACTTTCTGTTAGATCATCTGGGGATGCTGTCACAGGGCACACATGGGGCCTTCTCAGTAGTGAGTATGGAGCCTGATGGTAGTCACCAGCACAAGGAATTGCTGAATAAAGAAGTCTGAGACACAGTTGCGCAATGATGAGTTCCTACCTCCTTACTAGATTCTGGCTGCTGCAAATTCAAAATCTAATCAAGAAAGCATTTCTTCCCTGGCAATCTTAATATGAAGATTTATGATAATATAAATTCCCACAAGTGAAGATTGATCTATCTTGAGCTATCCTAGACTCCTCTTCGTTCCAGGACTGTATCCCATACCATGGGATTCCTCCAAGCAGATTTTGGCCTGAATAGGCCAAAGTTGTCTCCCCTGAAGTCAAGGGCTGTGACCCCACTTTTTGTCTTGCTTCTCCTCTCGGGATCCTCAACTTCACCATCTCATGGTCACTATAGGCAAGACTTCCCCCTGACTTTCACATCTCCAACCAGCTCTTCGTTGTTTGTATGAGATCCAGCACAAACATATTCTCTCTTCTGTTCCTCAATCACCTGTGTTGGGAAGTCAAACGAACACATTCCAGAATCCTCCTGAATTCTTTGTGCTCTGCTGTGCTGTCGCACCATCGGATATTAATGGGGTTGATGCCCCACCATGAAAACATGAGTCTGTGAATGTGAGACGACTTCTAGTTGTCTGAAGTCTAGCAGACATCTACCACAATATCTTGGTGGTGGTCCTGTTAATCCTGACCCATAAGCACTCAAGTGGCTCCCTCAACCAAATGAGGGCAGAGCTCTGTCCATCCTAGCTCACATCATGGAACAAGCACCCAAGTTCCCCTCCAATCTTCGCCTTGCACCACCTAAGCCCCAAAAGCTGCACTTCACTGTCATGCAAGAGCATTCTGTAGCCTTCCCCTAACCGTAACTAAGGTAGAAAATTATTTTCAAGAGTTCTGCGACTTCCCTCTTCCCAATAAATTCAATAGGGTTTCAAGTAGTAGGGAAACTGCTTAAAAGTCATAACCAGTCTGACCGCAACAGGATGCTCTTCACCTTCCGCAGTTAAGTGAGGATATCCAAATGCGCCAGAAGCCCTGCCTCTGCTTGTCTGTTTATACACATATAGCTTAGAGCATTTTAGGCAGCCTCAGCTTTTCAGTGCTGTGATTTAGCTGACAATTTTCAGGCACTTTTGTAGAACAGTTCCCAGAGTCAAGTGACAGCAATTGTCTCTTCTCATAGAATGAGGATGTAGCAGCAGTTTCCAAAGCACCAAACTATCTCACAAGCTTGACACAGACTGTCAGCACTCCTGCAACAGGAACCACATTATATCCAGCTTTTTGTAGGAATATAAAGATCTTCACAGGATTAGGAGACAAAGAGTTCTGCATCTGAGAAAAGCAGCTTTTCTGAAAGTTTTGGTGCCTAATACAATTCTACAAATACTTCCATTATCTTCTATAGTTATAATCCACTAGAAAAAGAACTTCAGAAGAGACAGGCATAACTGTTTTATTTTCAAACAAGTCACTTCCAAACTTGTATTTCTAAAACAAAGCCTGATTAACATAAACCTACAAAAACCTGGGACCTGTGGATTTTTATAGAGATAACCTGAATTTAGGATAAACATTAAAAATACCTGAAGAAGAGACCTGCAAATTCAATTAAATGAAATACAGATTTCAAATCACTATTACTATCTATAGATAGCAACTGTACAGTCAAATACAACATAGAATATACAATCCATAGAATTTTACCACATCTAAAAATAAATTAAAAAAAATAATAATTCTTGTAAAAGCCTAGTTGAAAGAAGTACATATGTTACAATAAGCTCTCTGCAAACTAAACCCTGCAATTTTACAACCAGTTCTGTTTCCCCCAATATCACTGTCAAAGTTGAGGTTACAAGATTGCATTTGTTTGCTCCATCTTGCATACAGACTGCTGTGCTTCTGTCATTACCACCACTTTATTGAATCCGTATCAAAGTCAAATTATATTTTAAGTCAAATAGTGTTTAAAGTGCTCACTACTATTTAAGTCATTATTATTATTATTATTATTATTATTATTATTATTATTATTGTTATTTCTATTTAGGCTTTTGTATTGACATGTCTGCTCCTGCAGAGTTTAGGTGTATATTTCCATTCAATGCACCTTCTATTAAGGAAACTGGAGCTTTCTTCTTTTGTTTTCCACTGAAGTGAACTCTACACAGCAAACAAGAGTCACACACACGAACCCGGGGAACTATACCATCTGCAATCAAAAAATGTGACATTTTGACTGC